TCCACTCTCCCCAGCCTAGACAGCCTAGATCATTAGGTCAGTACTGCGTACCACCGTTATCCCCGTTGCGTTACCGTGCTCATCCGGCGTAGCCAACAAACCCCGACCCTCGTAGTCGAGCATCCTCCTCGGGTCTTACACCTGCTTGGTGTACACCTCACAGCCCTCTCACTTTGCGCACTGACTGTCTACACACACACTGCCCTGCTTTGAGCTTGATGCATGCCCAACAACTCTGCAATTTACATGCGCTAAAATCTCCTTGGTTGAACACTAAGATTGTACTCCCAAACGCTTGTGTGGGTGTGGGATTAATATTGATCTCACAGCCAGAAACCTGTTTGTGTGTGCTTGTGCTTGGGTGTGGGATCAATTTGATCTCACAGCCAAAACCTGTGCATGCGGGATCAGATTTGATCTCACAGCCAAAAGCCGTGCGTGCGGGATCAAATTTGATCTCATAGCCAAAACCCATGGTGGGTGCGTGCGTGTAGGATTCTCACAGCCAAAAGCCGTGCGGACGCAGGGGTCACGTGCTGTACATGCGTGAGTGTGTGTGTGTGCGTGCGTGCGTGCGGGATCAAATTTGATCTCACAGCCAAAACCCGTGCGTGCATCTGTGCGTGCGGGATCAAGTTTGATCTCACAGCCAAAGTTGACACTGCATGCGTGGGCGTGCGGGCGCGTGTATGGCACTGTATGGCGCGCGTATGGCAAGCATATGGCGCGCATTTTGTCTGCGCACTTTTACGGCGTAAAAGTAGCTCCGGGCATGTCCACGGACCTCCGTACGCGTCTTTTTGGCAGGGTGCGGTCTAGTTTACGGCGTAAAATCCTCGACTTATACCAGTAAGCTCTCTCTCTGTGCTCACAAACTGCTTGCATCCCAGCACGCCCCTGCTGATTGCTTTCTGCACACCTCACAACTCTCTCACCTACATGCACTAGCATCCTCCCATCTTCATACTCTGCTGACTGCTGATTTGCCCTTAAGATTGTTGCGTTTGAACACACTGACCTCCCATTTCTGCACTGTTCTGTCCCCTTCTGATCAACTGATTGCAATGCTCTCACATCCCGTCCTTTCCCTGGCTGCTACCTGCCCGCGTGATCCTTGCTCAGACCTTCTTCAACAAACACAAACATGATTGGTCTCCCTTTATCCTTTCCAAGCACAGCTTCTTTGCTTGCCTGTTCTGCTCTCTCACTAACCCACACTGACATCCTTTGAATTGGGCATTGTTTGCTTGGATCTTCCCACTGCTTGACTGTCAAGCTTTTGCACTGGCTTGCACAAATTACTTCCTGGGTCACTGCAGCCTGGCTGTCACATGCTCTCATTCACACACTCTCAAGTTCTTTGAATTGTCCATTGATGGCAACAAGCACCCTCTTGTTGGTCTTCCTGGGACAACACATGACACAGCATCCTCTCCCCCACAGCCAGAGACACAGCTTGTAAGAACAACAACCGCTCTGCACCCTCTGGCTGGCTGTGCCAAAGGCACTTCTGTTCAAGCCTGTGCTGCCTCACAGTAAGGGACGGGGCTTACAAAGGGGACAACAAATCCACACCATCCCATTGGCTATTCTTGTACTGCGCTTGTTGCAGCATGCCCTGCCTCAAAGCTATAGACACATGTTGTAAGAACAACAACCGCTCAGCAGCACCTGATTGACTATTGTCATAGAACACATGTCATGCCATGCGCCCCCTCATAGCCAGAGGCACAGCTCACAAGGCTGAGTAGGATCAAATCTGATCTCACAGCCAAAGCCCGTGCGGACGCAGGGGTCACGTGCGTGCGTGCGTGCATGCAGGATCAAATTTGATCTCACAGCCAAAGGGTGTGTGCGGGCATAAGGGTCACGTGTGTGTGTGTGTGCGTGCGTGCCGTGCGTGCGTGCGTGTGTGCGTGTGTGTGCGCGTGTGGGATCAAATTTGATCTCACAGCAGATGTATGACACTGGGCGTTTGGGGCGCACCTGGCGCGCGTCTGTCTGCGCCCTTTTACGGCGTAAAAGTAGCTCCGGCCATCTCTGCGGACCTCTGTACGCGTCTTTTGGCAGGGCGTTTGTCTGCGCATCCCGCTTTTGCGTCGTAAAAGTCTCGGGGCATATGTATAGGCTGCTACCTGCCTGCGTGATCCTTGCTCAGACCTTCTTCAACAAGCACAAACATGATTGGACTTCCTTCATCCTTTCCAAGCACAGCTCCTCTGTTTGCCTGTTCTGCTCTCTCATTAACCCATGCTGACATCCTTTGAATTGGGCATTGTTTGCCTGCAACTTCCCACTGCTTGACTGTCAAGCTTTCACACTGACTTGCACAAATTACTTCCTTGGTCACTGCTGCCTGGCTGTCACATGCTCTCATTCACACACTCTCAATCTCTTTGAATTATCTGTTGATGGCAACAAGCACCCTCTTGTTGAAGCCGTGTGGCTTCCTGATTGCAACTAAGTTTTCTTGTGCGATAGTTGTGGACCCAAACAGGCGCTCGTGATTCAAGAA